TTTATTTTATTTTAAAATTATATTTAAAAATTTTATAAGTTTATTTCTGTGCATTATTGCACGGGTTTACAACTAGTAATATACATTAAATTTTTTTTGAAAATATAAAATTATAAATTGAACTCTTCCCAACAATCATTTGGACCAAAATTTCTTACCAAAGAAAAACTAATATTTGTTGGAGAGTCGACGTAGTTTAACGTAACAGTTTGCCTAGAGGTCAATGGTTTTTTTGCTCCGTGACTCTTCTATAAGTTGTGCGTTTAACATGCAAGCCAAGAATATTGGTAGACAAGATAACTGGCAGGAGGTGTGTGCCCTTAGATACAAAATCTTGGTGAAGAGACTAGAGTCTTCTTCGTCGACGAAGTTATCTAGACTATTTTTTCCTGAAGGAGTACACAGGGGAAACAACAAAAGCTATTTTTTTTTTAAGCCACACTCCTTTACTTGGCCAAGTGGTTTCTACTTTACTCCTACTCACCTTCTCATCGGTCTTCCAAAAATTTTTCGAAAAAAGTAGAGATTTGGCTTACCTTCTTTAAAAGATCGATATTGTTTATCTTCAAATCTGGATAGGCCAGTAGATGGCAACACATGTCTGAAAATAAATATGATGTTCAAGTGCTGGAATGGGTCCTAGTCGAAAAAAGAATCCCTGATTATAGCAGCAAGTGGCTTGAGATACGGGTCTACAGACAGCGGCAGCATCTGCTTGAGATACAAATTAGGTTTATAAAAAAAATCTGGAGTTGGATTGAAAAGAAAAATAATAATAAAGCATAGTCTTATAGTAGAGATATACAGATATTGCTTTTGTATATAATTTTTATCAACCTGGCATAGATTATAATAGTGTACCTCTATTTCTTATATGTATCAGGTTCACCTGTCCTTTTTTTGCTTTTTTTATCCTTTTTCCTTTATGTATAGATAGAGTTTAGGGTTTTCATTCGATTCTTGTTTGTATATATATCTTAAATTTCTGGTCTTTTGTAAATTTTGGCATTATTTTCTTCCCTTATACAAACGTAAAAGATTTAATTATTCTGCCAGGATCTAGGTAGAAAAAGTTTTAAAGGAAGGTGGGTGATCTTGACAAGGTAGACAACAACTTGTCCATAATCAAAAGAGTACTCTTGTCAGTACAAAATTCGATACAAGTGTTGAATCCTGAGTGAGACTAATTGTTGTTATAGTAGGTTGCATTGGGCATTTTGCTTGGTGAGTTTTTATTAGATTAGAAAATTATACTATAAAAATGATAAGTACTTTGTATGATCATTAATTAGTAGTTCCAATAAATAAAGACAAGATAAGATTGCTTAAAAAAATAATAAAATAAAATAAAATTATAAATTTATGTTCTTAAAGAACTAGAGGTCCTATCCAAATAAATCTGCCATCTAGTTATTAGATCCAGATATCTATCTGATTATATAAGATATCCAAAAAATTTATCTGGATTATCTGATATATCTGTACCAGATATCTAACAGATATCCAAACAAATATCTGAACAGATAAATATATTTAGAAACCCTTGCATAATTGTGCATAATTGCGCATATTTCATGCATAATTATGTAGAATTATACAAGGGTGCATAACAATATGCAAGAGGTTTTCAAATAATGCTTTACATAATACTGCATTTCTTGTATAAACAATCTGGATAATCTATTGAATAACCAGATATCTATCTATTAATCTATTTTAACTGTTTATCTATAAAAATTAGATATCTAATAAATAAATAGATAAACAGTTAATGGATAGGACCTCTACAAAGAACAATAAATTTTTTTTAAAAATTCTTCACTAGATTGAAGTATAACTTTGAGACATTTTTTTTTATATAATTGTAAAAAAAAAAAGTTAATCTGATTCTAGAGATTCATACTGTATTTTTTTATTTAATAATATGTAATATAAGGTGTTTGCTAAAAAGCAAAAAATACCAATATTTTTCGTGAAAATTTTTAGTGAAATAAGGTGTAACGTGATGTTGTTTTTGCATGCTGATTGGTCAATTTTAAAGATCGGCAAAAAAATTCTTAAAAAATTTTTAACGGTCCCTGGCTAGGGTACTCGCTAGGGTAGTGATTTAAGCCGTAAGGTTTTAGTCGGCTGGCTAAGCCAGCCGACTAAAATATCGGCTAATCGGCCGGCTAACAGCTAACAAATATACTTCGGTAAACTTTCCATTTTCCTTACTGGAATTCTACTATCGCTATATTAATCTTTAGCCGCATTAGCCAGCCGACCATATTACATTGGCTAGCTCAGCCGCCTAAGTCAGCTTAAAACACTAAGCTAGGGTACCGGTACTCTCAAACTTTTCCATTACCTTCATCTCACGAGGATTACTTCATATTTACCTAACATCACTGATCGATCATTAGACCGGAGATATCACATGTTGGTCTCGTGATGATTCGATTTTTGTAACTTACTACGGAAATACATTTGGGTGTCTTCTGCTAATCGAGCATCAACATATCAATTAAATAGTATCTATAGATTATAATTGAGTTTTAAATTAAAATTCTTTCATATAATGATATTCATGAGATGATAATTTTGTTACAGTATATGCAGAAAGAGAAAAATATCTGAAATGAAAATTAGTAATGTAACTAGGCGCTTGAGTTGTTTGAAAAGAGTTAGAAATGTATTATATTATACTGGCATGTTACGAATCAGTTCTAATGCAATTCATCAAATATTTTATCAATTTCATATTATAATTATTGAAGAAAGTTAGAATTTTATAAGAATTGGTTTTTATTTTATCATTTATCCACCCGGGTGACCCGCGGGTTACCCGGGTCATGATTTTTCAGACGTGTCCAACCACTATTTCAACCTAGTGCTAATGCCAAAGCATCGAACCACCAGAACCCCCCAACTTGAGCAATTGTCTGAACAGAATTACTTATAAACTCTTTATTCCTATTAAACTCTCTATCAATTCTACTTAAACCTTCAAGGAACGCTTCATAGTCTACTTGTGCAGGTATAATAGGGTTACCATCTGTGTTTTGCCCATTCCACTCATCATCGTCATCATCCGTTAAGAATGTATCAGAATCAGAGTCTGAAGTATCTTCGTATTTTTTCGGTTTAACATCCCGCGAATGATCATAAAAAGATATATTTTCTCCTTGATAACGTGTATAAAGTGTACTGAATTGAATTGTCAAGTCGAGAACTTCTAATATAGATTTATGAATGGGAATGGTCTTCGAATTATCGTTACATTTAATTATTGCCATGATATAATATATAGTTAAAGTAATGTATATTGTGAATGACATACCTTATCACTGAGCAAACATCGATTATATACAGCATGAATATAGTGGTCATGCAATGAAACCATCTCATCAATATCAAAAACTTTTTCTAATTTCTTGTAAAAGTTTTCCGTTTCCGAAAGTAGTATCTGAATAGAAAAATAAAGGTAAGCAATTAAAACAATGATCTATTTACAACGTATAATTTACCTACATTTCTCATCGCGTAATCCCATATTGTATTCAAAAACCATAATAACTTAATTCTAACACCATAAAACAAGACTATGGCAGTTGTCTTTTCTGCCATTTCATTGCCCCTATTTAAGTGTGAAAACGAAAGACGTTCTAAAAGATACTTGGCCCGCTTCACTTGGAGTAGAAAAACCACTATGTGTTTGTAATATTGTAGGGTTTTACTTTGCATTATGTTGTTAATAGGCCATGGTATCTATGAAAAAAATCGATTATTACTAGTGCCAAAAAACTTTTACTCTTGAAATTATAATAAATACATATTGATCGCTTACCCGATACTCAATAACAATTTTTTCAAATACTCTAACAGTAGTGATATTAGGCTTTTTTCCAGGTGTGTCGTCTATCCACACACTGACCAGACCTCCATCCAACCATTTCCATTTCCTTACTGTATTCAAAAAAATATCATTGAGGATATATGTATCATACCACATTTGTTTTTTATCTATCTACGATTAAAAATTTTTTTAATTAATGATAGTCTTTTTTTTTTTTGTTGATAGACAAAAAAAAAAAAGTTGCGCCCACTAACCCTGTCAAATAAGACATCACATAACAGGTGCATTGATTCTCCTTGCTGCATGAAGTATAACCCTGCAAGAGAACGTAAATGCTTCCATAAGCGACATTTCTCAACTAAAGCATCATAAAGTTGCTGACCGATTCGTTCATATCTGGGCTGAATATAGCCTTCAAATCGTTCCTTTAATAGTTCATTAAAAGGTTGAAAAATAAGCATCTCATTTGTTTCTTTTGATTCCATTTCTACATCCTCAACTTTTTCAGTAGATGGTTTCCAAAGAGGAAATAAGGTTGATATTGTCTTAGGGAAAGCATCGATAATATCATCCTTTTTGAGGTCAACAATTTCATCATCATCGTCCATTTTATGATCATTATCAGAGTGAATTTCATCCTTTTTATTTAATTTCACGAATAAGCGTAATGACTCTATTTCGAGAACAAACTCCTCGGGATTATGCTGTATAAACGGTATGTGTTCTCCAATTTTTACCTGAATTTATTAACGACAATAATGAAATTCATTTGGTCGACCATGAAAAAAAAATAATATAACAAATCTATACCTTTTTTGTTTTTAAAGACATTAGTAAATTTTGTGCTTTCCCACAAAATAAAATGCGACCTATTAAAGGTTCCAAAAAAGGTGGCGATAGTAGCTGAACAGATTCAACATTATCAATCATAGCACGAATCCCCCGTATTTTATACATTTCCTGCCAATACTGTGACGACATATTCTCTATGTTTTGAGATCTAAATAAAAATCGTAATGTTAAAAATTCGGCAGCATAAGAAGAAAAAGAAATAATTTACCTTACAAGAAAGAATTCATTTTCTGGATCATTTAATTTTCCTGTACAAATCCATTCATCAATCATTCGAATATATGGTACAAGAGAATTGTCAAGGTGTTCTCCCAACATCATAAATATATTTTTATTTCCTGACATCTGGTAATGAACAACTTCATTAAACAACCCGGATAGTATTTTGTATGCAATTTCACAGGATGAGCAAAGGTGTGTTGAAGCAGGGGCATCTAATTGGTCTTGATCAGAAATATCCAGCAATTTCTTGGGAAAGTCTAAAATGAAGTTCATTGAATTAATTTCCATCACATTGAATTTCTGCATAGATAATAAATCTAACAGTACGTACCGTACGAAAGATTTTTTTCAAAAAAATCATAAATAATCTTAAATTCATATAAATGAATGGAAATTTGATTTCGAAGCTGTAGAAGGGAAATATATGTGTCTTGATCTTACATATTAAGAAAAATAAATATTATATCCATTTATAAGGTTATAAGACGAATGTCGAAACAAAATAAACAATAACCTTGTGATGTAGGCTTATTAATCTGATACTTTGATTCAATATCAGCCAATAATTTGTCAAATTTCTGAACCATCCTAAGAATGGATGCAGCAAAAGCCTGGACGGTTTGCCCATAAGTTGGACGAGATTCTATACATATCCTATTTGAAACAACAATGGTATTAAACTCCAACTTAATACTACCCCAGAAAAGATCGTAATACCTGGTGGCAATTATTCTCAGCTTTGCCAAAAAATTTCCATATTCACAAAAGTATTCTAACAAAGCTTTAAATCCACCTTCAGTTAAATGCATCAGCGTTGCATTAAGTTGGACCTACATTGACGAATTTAATAAATGGACATAATATATACAGCTTGATGAATCGCGAATTGGGATTTACAAGATGATCAAAATTTTATACCCTGAATTTTCCACTTGTATCTTTGTGAAAAAGAAAGCTCGGACATCCAGATAACATGAATAAAACCTCGCGTATAGCATCAAGCTCTGTGATGTATTTTATTCGGGTTGGATCATAAAAAAGATATCGTTCATCTTGACTACGGTATTTCGCGAGTGAAGGAGCTTTTTTTTTTATGAAAATACAAGGGTATAGCAAGCAGATAAATAGATGTAATGAAAAAATATCTCCAATGTTTAAGAATAATTTACCGAAAGTGCATGTATCGTTCGCATCAAATTTGGAATCTATTGATTGATACACATAGTAAATTTTGATAATTAATATAAATAAGCATAAAATTAAGATTCATAAGGACATACCAAATAAATGTGATTTATCGCGGTAATTTGGCCTCCAATGTTGTTTAGATAGCAATTCCTGAACAATTTCATAATTTAAATCTTGATCTGACATTTCTTCTGCTTCGTCTTGTTGTACACTACAGTAGCGATCGTAAGTAACGAAGTCTTTTCGTAAACAGTACCTTAATTTTTTATTATCTGTTATTGTAAAGATAATCGACGAAACATGTGATGCATTATTTTTATTATTTTTTGACGAAGATCAGATGGTGCTTATTGTACTACATAAAAATGATTAAATTCAAAAAAAAAACCTGCATTTAATATTAACTATATATGCGTGCCGCCAAGGGAAAACCTGTCAATTATATTTTGTACCGAAATAGATTGTGTCCGAAAATATAATTGAAAGCTCGATTAAGGTTTTTCTTGGTGGCACTCATTTAAATTTATAAAGTTAAACATTAAATATATTTTATATTATATACAGTATAATATGACGCTTTTACTTTTTTTATAAGGCAATTTTTATTTGTACACCAGTGTATTAAAACGAGTACATATAACCCAAAATTTTGCTTATGAATTCATTCTTCAGCCAATTTTGAGGTTAGTAGCCTTATCGCTTAATCTTGCACGTCAAAATCCCAATCATCATCGTCGTCGTCTTCATTGTAATCCGTTTTAATTGCCCAATGTGGGCCTATTAACGGTTCATCGTGAAATATATCAGACGCTTTAAGACGCGGTTTATCAGGCTTTTTTACATTGATAGTCGGTCTATATTTTGTGTAAAGCGGAAAATCCGATAAATTTAGAAGCAAATAGAGAATATCGTAGCGTGTATGAGGCTGAAAAAGAATAATAATATTAATTAAAGAAATGTAATTTAATATAAAATATTAAAATCTAAACTTGCTTGAATTGATCCTTCGATCATTGGACGTTGCATAAGCGAAGAAACATATTTGTCTAAAAAGTCTGCTTTGTCTCCTTGTGCGTGTATCCGAAATTTTTCGGCTAATCTATTGTAATCACATCAGTCATTCATTACCTACAGTTTTTTTTTTATCAAATAGGTAAGGAAACAAAAAAAAAAATACCCTTCATATTTTTTTAATACGTCCTTTTGATTAGTGCCTCCAAATTTTCCGAATTTGAATGTTGAATGCACGTATTTTACACATTTTTTATAATCATCGGTTCCTGGCTAAAAAATGAATAAGTTTATTATTATAGAAAAATACCCAATATAATTGAACTTACCTGTTTTTTAGTTAAGTTTAATAAGAGTTTTTCTATTGAAGTGTTCACGATATTAATCGACATCGTCATTTGTAATAATACAGTACGTATATAACAGATAACGATAAACGTTAACAGTTAAATTCGTCCACATAATAACCAGTAAATAAACAATGTATAATGATAAATTTGATTGGTCGATAACCACGTGTAGATCGACGTGAAAAACGATATACGGTAAGCTCCACAAAGTTCTCACTTGATTTTTTTGATTTTCTCGACAGTTAATATATTAATTAAAAATGAACATTTTACCACATAAAAGGTTGGTAAATTGGTATTTGAAGTATATTTTTTTCTATTAACAAGTTTAAAGTTTACTATAATTGAACTTTCTAGCTATCATGTTTACAATCTCAAAAATCGAGAGCGTGTTCGTCAAGACGAAGAGAAAGCTCGACAAGAGGAAGAAGCAAAGGCTCAAAGACAAGAGATTTCGGTATGTAAGTCAACATCCAGATAATGCTTATGGTGGTGCCGATATAAAAAACTCATATTTTATAGGAACGTGAGCGCCGTCTTCAAATTCTTCGGGAAAACGCACGTGCAAAGCAACAGGGCTTACTATCAGAGATACCAAAAGAGCAAGCTGCTGGTCAATTAATAACGACAAATCAAAAGTTAGCAATACAAAGTTCGGCTGACTCCGTTGGCGGTCATATTAATTTCTGGAGTGACTTAGAAAAAGTATTATAGTTTGTTCACTATTATAGTTTTATTCGAGAATTTCTTAATGTTAAAAATTTATCTCATTGATTTTTATAAAGGAATATGCCCGTACAGTCTCAACCAATCCAGAATATGAGGCGGAGAAAAAGGCAAAAGAACAAAAATTGGAGAGACAGTATACGATGTATTTTGATGAAGTTTTAAAAGGTATGTTAAATTAATAGTTTACCTTTTTCTTGAAGTTATTATTTATCGAATTTTCTTTCAAATTCAAGATCCAAAGCCATGGTATCTTAAGAGTGGTTATAATAGTAGTATTGGTAGTAGTGGCATTGATGACGAAAAATATTCTATAGATGGAAAAATTAAAAGGTACTATATTCGAGCCAATTTGTGTTGATAAGTCTTTTATTGCTCATGTAAAGTTTTCTGATCACAAATTTATTATTTCTAGAAAAAAAGAAATGGGAATTAAATCTGCTGACGATCCACTACACCTAATGAAAATAAATTTAGATAAATTATCAAAGAAAAAGAAAACCAATACAGTACTTGACAATCGACTGAAGGTAATTAATCTATGAATTTTTTTTATATGAATTTGATTTATTGATTCCATTTTTCTACATTTAAGCATACGAAGGAAATTCAATCTGATCCACCCTCCTTATCAACAATTGACAAACTACGTGATGAACGACTGAAGAGAGAGCATGAAGAAAGATTACGCACTCTTAAACTTCTCAATCCTCACATGATAAACAAACAAGAATCAAAAGGTCGATATTTTTCACAATTCAATCCAGAAGCTACTAGCGCAGCGCATAAGGCATCTGAATGGGAAAGCACACACACTCATAGTGCTCGCTCTCGTTCACGGAGGCATAAGCCATATTAAATGTGTTAATCAAACTTATTTAATTATCTACTTGTACAATATAACGACAAAATTTCTGAAAATCGATAAATTCATGTAATATGGTAAATTTGAATTGAATTAATGATGCCATTTGGCTCATTTATGTTTACGTCTACACTATTCAATGGACAACTAAGGTTTTGGAATAGGTTGAGAATCGATTCGATTTTAGAAATCGATAATTAAATCCTCTAGAATTAAGATCGAATTTTTGACATTAACTAATCGTCGAAATTTTACTAATAAATCATTGACTGACTATTCATTGCTCATGTGATATCAGATATTATATTGTCGAAAAGTCTACGGACGGACAGTGCAGCCACGTGATATTAGGAAAATAAAAATTTTCAAATATTTAAATCAAAATATCTTGGCACTACCTGACCCAATCCGATAACTTTTTTTTTAATT